TCGTCGTAAAAATAGGGGTGCCCCGTATTGCGGTAGGCTGTGCAAGCGCGTGCAATGCGAATTCCTGGCCCGCTTCTAAATTACGCGTGTCGTGGGGGCCTCCCGGCTGTGCACATGGTTGCTGTTGGGCATGTCGTGCATGGCACAATTGATTGGGTAGTAAAATAAAACAGAAAACAGACGACAGCTGCACTTAGGAAGAGTAGTTACACTTGGAATTGTTTTAGGTTGTCCAGTGCCCTTCGCAGTTGCAGTGCCGTGAACTCAGTTACTATTTTCATCGTTGCCGTTATTGTTTTCTAATCCTTTAATTGCTGCAAGTGTACCAGGATTCTCATTTATTCCTCTATCGAGGGTGTTAAATCGGTGGATAAGGTATGACTCTCGTTGTTCACGTTCTCGATTTGATTTAAATCCCGTCTCTAAGAGCGTTACTGATAGTTTGTCGAATGCATGGTCGGGAAGATTGAGATGTTTTGATAGAGGTAGACTTGGGGCTGATTTCGTATGGGCTCTGTGATTATTGAAGCGAATCCTAAATGGTGTTTCTGTTTGTCCGATGTACTGCATACCACACACGTTGCATTCGAGTAGGTACACCACATTAGAAGAATCGCATGTTAGGTTTCCTCGTATGTTAATCGAAAACTTGGATTGCGTGCTGGTTGCTTTGTCTGTTTCTCGCATCGCCTTACATACAAGACATCGTGGCTTTAAGCAAGGGCGGCATGAATTATTGGGGGGTGATGTGTTAATTTGGGAGTGGACAAGGGTGTCTTTGAGGTTACGTGGTCGTCGGTAAACGACGCCTGGAGCGGATGGGAATGCGCGTTTCAGACGTTCACTTTGTTCCAGAATGTTGTAATGTCGTTTAAGGATTTTGTTTACATTGGGGAAGTTTGTGCTGTAAGTCAAGCAGAGGTTTGTTCGTTGTGGGTCTTCTCGTGGTGGTCGCTTCATAAGTAAGTCTTCACGCTTTAGTTTTCTCGCTTTTTGAACAGCGTCATTAATTACATGTGGGGGGTATTTTTGTTGCTCGAGCATAAGTTTTAGCCTCTGTGAGCTCGTGTCAAAGTCAGCGTCTCTAGAGCAGATTCGCTTAAACCGGTGAGCCTGGCTGTATGGAATACTGTTTTTACAGTGGCGTGGGTGATCGCTTTGGTAATGAAGGTATTGTTGTCGATCCGTTGGTTTGCGATATAGGGTTGTAGAGAGCTTCTCTTCTTCTATCGTTATGGTAACATCAAGAAAATTTACGGTAACTTGCGAGTATGTGTGTGTGAAGTGTATGGTCGGGTGTACAGTATTGTAAGTGTCTATAAAGCTGAGAAGTTCGTCCTCGCTGTGGGTCCAAATAAGAAAGATGTCGTCTATGTATCTTCTGTATAACATTGGTTTCAAGGAACTTTGTGCAAGAAATTCAGATTCTAGCTTTCCCATAAATATGTTGGCATAATTAGGTGCCATTTTGGTGCCCATGGCGGTCCCGCTGATTTGTCGAAAATACTCTTGGTTAAACTCGAATGAATTTAATTCGAGGACCATCCTCGTCAATGTTGCAATGGCAGAGAAATCTGGGGTGTTAGATTGTCTATGGTTTGTGTACATGTTTCTTAGTGCAGCTATGCCGTCATCGTGAGGAATATTTGTATATAATGAAGAGACATCAAGGGTAACCAAGTACGAGTTTTTCGGCACACAGATACCCGCAATGTCTCGAAGAAAATGTGTGGTGTCCTTTATGTATGACGCGAGCGTGCATGGAATGTGGCTTATTAGTTTGTCCACGTACCCTGATATGGGTTCAGTTATTGTACCGATGCCTGATATGATTGGTCGACCTGGGTTACCGGGTTTATGAATTTTTGGGAGGATGTAGAAGCGACCTGGACGAGGGTATGCTGCTTGCATCAGTTTGTGGTCAGTGTTGGTTATCTTTTCTGCGTCCAACAGTTTCTTTAGTTCTGTTGATACGATACGTTTGTATTCGTCTGTCGGATCACCTGGGAGGCGTTCGTAAAATCTTGAGTCGTCTAGTTGGCGGTATGCTTCTTGTAGGTAGTTGGTTGTATTAAGGACTACAATTGCTCCTCCTTTGTCAGCGGGTTTTATTGTTATGTCTGTCCTAGATGCCAAATTTTTCATGCTTATTTTTTCAGATTTGGTCAAGTTTTCTCGGTTTCCTTTCTGTCTGTGGTATTCGTGTACTATATCTTTCTGTACTGCGGTGATATATATATATATATATATATATATATATATATATATATATATATATATATATATATATATATATATTGACTTTCTCACGTGCTTAGAAACTAAAAGAAAGGAAAAAAGCGGAAGGAAGTGGCCTGATAACTTCCTTTCGGAAGCTCCGCAGCAAGGTGGCGGTGGTGGAACAATGGGTCACGTTGCTTAACAAATCGACTGTACACCCGATGGAGGGGCTTTAGTTCCTTGCACTGAAGCTCTCAAATGTGATAAAAGGTCATGGTGGCCACCATCTTCAGGTACCTGGCACAGCGAACCTGTCTGTGGCGTCGTGTGCGACTTAAGTAATCGCAACTGTTTCAACGTTGATGCTTATTACGCCTATGGCATAGCTAAGCTTCATGTGTGTAGACGCGAAATAGTACAATTCTTGCTCTTTAAAGAGCCCTACGATTCGCGTAGGTCAACTCCAGATTTCCAATTATACTATGTGAAAAAAAATTCTACACATTGGTGCTGCGAGCTGTGTGTGACAGCCACTTGCCGCAGATGCGGGAGTGTTGAAAGCTGTGCAGGCATTGAGAATGTCAAAATCAAGGCACGCCCGGTGCACGTGCAGAGCGTCGAATCAGTTTCTTTAAAAGAGAGTGCTTGTTTCTCGTGCGAAAAATGTGTAAGAAAAATACCTTGTAGCGTGTTGGTACTTATAATCTCGCATTTTGTGAGAGAAAATTAACCCACGGTTGTTGGTGACCTGGGATCTAATGGCGTGTTTACACATGCACTTGCGTGACGAGAAGACCAAACACTTTAAGCCCAGAAAGCTGCTATATTCAGTGAGAAATGACGCTGCCCGGCAGGCAGGCATAAAATATGTGCGTAATTTTTATTTAAATGTATTTAAGACGGAAAATTAGGAAATCGAATTACGCAAAGGCGTTAACATCAAAACGCCGAAAAATGATTATACCGCGAAGATAAAACACCGGAACTATACTTGAACCATGCCGAAAACTTCGATCGATTCGGGGGAAAATGGACGGAGACGCAATGTAGTGTGCCCTCAGAAGGGAAAGGCTAAACGTATTAGCAGGGGCTGTTATGTTTATATGCTTGACAAGAAAGTAGGTTCTGCCGTGCCGTGGTTGTCTAAAGATTATGGTGCTCAATTGCTAACCCGAAGGTCCCGAGACCACACCCTGGCTACGGCTGCTGCAATTTCGATGAAGGCGAAAGTATTCGAGGTTCGCCTAGTTCGATATTGGTTCACGTTACAGAACCCCGGGATTATATTATTATTATTATTATTATTATTATTATTATTATATTATTATTATATTATTATTATTATTATTATTATTATTATTATTATTATTATTATTATTATTATTATTATTACTATTATTATTATTATTATTATTATTATTATTATTATTATTATTATTATATTATTATTATTATTATTATTATTATTATTATTATTATTATTATATTATTATTATTATTATTATTATTATTATTATTATTATTATTATTATTATTATTATTATTATTATTATTATTATTATTATAAGGAAGTCGATTCTGGATGCACTGCAAGACGTGAGGAAAACGCAGCGCCAAAGTGATTATCGAGCTTCCTGTACAGCACAATAGTGTCTCCTGAGCTCTGGCTATTCCTGATGGAAGACGGAGCTGTAGGTTGGGTCCAAACTATGAAGGCGGACGTTGGTTAATGCCGGTGAATTCCACTGAGCGAGTGTCAGTTTTCGTGCAAGTATTCGAAGCCTTGAAGCGGCGTCCATTCTTTATAATGGTATAGCTGCACAAGGGGCATCATCATGAGCAGATAGGGCTGCTTCATGTGCACGGTCGTTTCCGTCAATGCAGCAGTGGCCTGGTATCCATTGATACGCTATGTCATGTTGTTTCTCCATAGCCCGGCGATAAAGCAGTCGTATTTCAGCAATTAATATTTCGTTTGATCCATGACAATATGGTGAGGCAATGCCCTGTGGCTGTATAGAGGCCTATACTCCACATCCTAAAGCCCGTAAAGTGTATCAGTATTTAATATCACAAGGGTGACATGCAAATCTTTTAACACTGATCAATTGCAGTGGTCGGTGAATTTATAATGAGGTATATGGGTCTGGCGGGAAGGTTGTGGCGACGTACGGGACAGGATTGGACCTCAAGCATGTCATGACCAGCGAGCAATATTCGTCAAACCATCCTATACCTTCTCGAGCTAATTTTTCTTTACCCCAAGTTTAGGGGGTGAGGCCAACAGCCCCCATAAGTAGGTGGCTAAATTGATATATAGATGGATATCCAGATATGCGGACGGTAAAAGTGGCCGCAATACGTAAATATTTCGCGTTTAGAAAGTGGTGGCCTCCGGCGGCACTGGGAGCCGAACTCGGTGCCCCCAGCACTGGAAGTGAAGGCTCTATCTATTCGGCTACTATATATGCACTGCGCTTTGGGAAGTGGTAGCCGTGGAAACATTTACAGGAAAATTGACAAGGAGGCGTGCGAAAGGCAATGAAGATCAATAGGAGGGGGAGGGCTGACACTAGGAGGGGGAGGGCATCTCCTGTCTAGATCTGTCACTGTTACAGCATATTTCAGACAATAAATGAGCAATACAAGGGGGGCAACGAAATGAATTTTATTGCACATTATTGTGCTAGCAGAACAGGCCCATAAACCTCGCCACTTTTTTAAAAAGTGCCAATTAGTCATTAAGCCAGTCTCTGCTAGATCAGTCCTATTGGCTTCGCCTACTTTTTCTTCCGATCCTTGGATGTCTTGCCGGTCCTAGTGCGCCTTCCGCGCACAGACGACGACCGGCTACTGGGGGCCATCCGTGCCTTCCCGTGCCTCCCTCCGTGCCTCGAGGACGAGCGACTATGGGTATGGCGTCGCTTCTTGCCACGCTTCGAGCGCCGGCTCATGGTCGAAGAAGACGTAATGGACCGGACATGGCGGTGGCTCCTGGGGCGCCTCTTCCGTGGGTAACTTGCTTTCGATGACGCAGAAGAGCCTCTACGTGTTCGCGCTTTACGAGCGGGTCCAACATGGCTACTGTGCGATGAGTGCCTTGACCGACCCCGGCTCACCTTCTTGGATCGGCGACGCTTTGGTGCATGGCTTGGCGTGTCGTTTGGGCTTTCCAAGGAGGAGCTTCGGGAGCGCTTTGTACGGCGGATTCTCGGAGCTTTGGCAGCCACTTCCTTGCTGGACGAAGGGTTTTCTCCCTCGGGCTGCGTCACCTCCATGGCCTTGCGCAACTTACGAGCTGGCGTAGGTGCAATGGGCGTCGGGGCGAGCGGCCTCTCCGACGAGGTCTTTGGCGGTCGGCCGCGTGGACGCTTGGTAGCTGCAGCATCGTTGGAAGGACCAGCCACATCCTGGTCAGCGGCTGTCTGACGCTTACCTCGCCCGGCCTTTGGCGGAACGCCGTCGGCCTCAGCCGCTTTCTTCACCATGGCGTCGTTGCTCCGGGACTCGTTCTCGCCTCAGTCGTCGAACGTGAAAAGCCCGCCGTGCTCCTCAGCCTTGGAGCTCACCGGCAAGCGTGCGCCAGGAGACGACAGCTTTATTGGAACAGCGGCGAGACCGCGGAGCATGCCGCCCTGAGCCCCTGACACTGATTGAGGCCCCGTTCGGTTCTCGTGCACCGGGTGCAAGTATTTCATCTTTCTTGCTTGCTTCTTCCTGTACGCCCTGGTTCATACCAATTGTAGCGTATTGGCCAATAAATCGGTGCTAATTTTAATCGGTAAAAACGAATTTTTAAATTTTGAGCGAGAAAAAATTACTATTCTCGTGGAAATCTTCATAACATGTGCCCCTACAAAAAGAAACCGGACTCGAATCCTATTGAATTGGCAATTGAATATAGTGTTCCGTTAATCCAGAGTGCCGTGGAATTTTTGCATTAGAACATAGATAAATTTATATGACAAATTTAGTGTTCCTTATTTATGAATTGTATTTAGTGCTGTTCAACGAGTTAAACTTTGAGATAATTATTTCAGGGCATTTCGTAATCCCGAAGCGTAACTAAATTGTAATAACAATAAGCGCTACACCCCTACTGTGGAGTAGGAACAAAGGAAAAGAAAAAAGACAGGACGAAAACAAGCATGGGGAGAAAGAGAGAAAATAATAAACGTTTATTTCGAAACAATGTTCCGGACGATGGCCGGTATCACTTTAAGGAGGGAGGTCTGGCTATCAATGCCCGGCTGGTTGAGATGGGAAGGAGGAAAGTCGCGCATGCGTAGTGTGAGGGTTGACTGTGGACGCGTGACCTACTCGCCAGCAAGATAGGCTCAGCATCTAAAAAAGAGGAAGGGTGCTATACGAAACAAATCTATTGGCGGGTACAACTTAAGAAGGCAGGAGAGGCCCCGCCCTGATGACCGAAGCGCAGCAGCCAATTTGCTCCGCGACAAAAGAAATAGTACCGCTCAAAATATTGTTACTGCTTCTAAAGCGAGAATTTGTCAGTGTAAATAAGATTTTTTGTGTGTCGTGACGAGTGCTTTAGTAAGGCTGTAATGATGAAACTGCTAGAGCACATGCCGGATCACAAGAGAAAAATAACTCCGTACCTTCTACAACGCTGCGTGTCGTCTACTACGGAGCAAGATCGACGGCACCGGGCGTGTAATTGTAAAGCAGTTGCTGGTTTCATAGCTTAAGTTTCGTACTTTTTGTGTGTTTGCACAAGCTTTTCTTTTTCATGTGTCAGGCTAATTTTTTTTTCAATTGCGAACCTGCAATCTCCTGAGTTCACGCACCTTTGGCACATGGCGTTTCGTGTCAGAGTTAATCAATTATACGAGTTGCGAAACTGCGTTCTAAAATTCGGACACGCAGTCCACCCAATTTTTGAGGATGTAGCTGACGTTCGCGCCACGTAGAAGCAACAACACAAAACAAAAATAATTCGTTTAATAGTGGGCCTGCGGATCAACAGGTGGCGAGACAATCTGGTCACTCCCGACAGGGGGGCCAATGACCTATTTGGATTTGGATACATGGAGCCTATAGGGAGTTTCGCAACTCATATGATTGAATAACTTTTTCCGTGCAAGTTCACAGGAGATACCAGGCTTTGGCAAACTTTCCTTGTCGTAACTTCACTTAGGCGCAAACGAAACACGAAACAGACACACATGATGTTTGTTTGCATCGGTATGTCACCGCTGGATCCAGTTTCCAGACGAAGCGCAGCGCAGCGTCACCGATGTTCGCTGCAATCTTTCTTCGCCGGCTCTGAGCTCACAACAAACACACGCGGCACAAATTGTGTATCGTAAGCTCACAATAAAATGTCAGCATGACAGACTACCACACATAATTCGAATTCACTCTGACGAAGGGAGACGCATACAGGCAACGGGACTCGGCCCAGTTCGAAGCGAGGGCGCCCATGTTAGGCATGTTCTCCGTCGGCTGGATCCGCGGCTAGAGTGCAGTCGGGCTCATGACGTCACATAAAGTGCGCGTCTATTGGTGGAGGCTCGTGTACACGTACCTTTGAGGGGAAAACGCCGCGGCCTTCTTAAGTTGTACTCGACTATAATCTCTATTTTTCTAGTATAGCAATTGATTTCTGCGGACATCCGGATACTGTATACTGTAAGGCCACTGCTATTTTTATGGCAAATAAATATTAGTCTTAACTATATTTGTAACACAAAAAGTACTCACTCTATTATCGAAATGTAAAAGAGGCAGATGTGCGAATGTAGCAGTAATCTCTCTCTGCCCCTTTCGAGAACACACTGATTGCCTTCTCTTTTGTTCATGTTAATAAATAAAGCCCGTGAAATCTGAAATTTGACACATGACCAGATGGCTGCGTGCATTATCTCGCATGAGAAAGCAACTCCCTCAAACAGGCTCACTTTGAGGAAGCCAATATCACTGAAAGAAACATAGAAACAAAAAAAGAAACAGTGTTGCCACAAAGGCGAAGCAATGAACGCAATAGCGACACATAGGAAAATCACCCGCAGAACGGCAAGCAGATACAAACGTGCGAAACGTACGTAAATAACGCACGAAACGTACTCACAGGCACAGATGAATGCGAGTAAGCGTCTCAGTTGTTACTTTGCAACTTCTAAAAAGCACGTTCTTTTCGCTAACGGAGCCTGTGCAATGATTGCAGTGACCTTTGTGCGGCCAGTAACTAATACAGAATCGTTCCGGTGAAAGCCAAAGTCGACCCAAGACGTGCGATTAGCCCCTCCCTCCCGCACCGCGAGATGAGGGCGCGCGAACGAGCGTCTACCCCCTCCTTTCCGCGGGGCAAAGTATGCGTGGGAGTTGAGAGCACGAGCCGCCGCGTCATGACGTTGGCGACGCGCGCTCATTGTGTCATCTTGCTGGTAATACTGAAAACACGATAGTCTCCCCCCCTTACATGCCCGTCACCAGTGGTAAGTGGCTGATATAACTAGCTCGTGGTCAGAACCTTGAATGACGTGCACACTGCTCAGGGGCTAACACCTCACACTCGCGTTTTAGATGTCCCACGTTCGGTTCCGCGCACTGGTGTCTTTTTCTGAATTTTTTCTTGCGTTTTTATATATCTGGATACGTATACATATATGGTGAGTGACGGCGACGTCCGCGTAGACATTGACGCCGGCGGCAAAGTTCAGCCGAGAGTGTCGATTTAATTGATATCGCAATAAAAAAATACAGATCGCGCTATTTGCCACTTCCCGTCCGAAGAAACCCACTGATTTGATCGTTCACATCTAGGCTGTAATCAGAACAGTAGTCTGGTCGCGTTAATATTTTAAAACGTTGCCCGTGAGGTATGGATAATGATAATTACGCACAATCAAGCAAAAGTAATCTCTGTAAAATTGCGAAACATGTTGGTGGAGTCCGACCAGTACCCTCGCCAAACTGCGGAATGCTGTCTGTGGCAACGGAAAAGTCAAAGCGGCTGCTTGCATTAAGCTTATTTGAAAGCACTCCTTTCGTTTTTACGCGAGAGTGCAGCTATGTGTTACTTTTTATATTTCGTGGGCTTTCTTTATTAACAGAAAAACATGAGCACGCAAGTAGTACGTTGTTGAAAGTAGCACAGACAGATGTAGTTTCAACATGCACACATCTGCCTCTTTGACATTTTGATAACTATGCAAGCACGTTTGAGCTGCAAATAGCATAAAAAATGATATTGCTTTTCACAAAAACAGTAGTGGCTACTACAGTATACTGGGAACAATGCACTAGGTTTTGGTCCGTGCAACGCTGTTCCTGATTTTTTTTATCGCTCTGCGTGATAATTTTGACACCCTGCATACTGACAGACTGCTCCGCCGTGGTGGTCTAGTGGTTAAGGTCCTCGGCTGCTTACCCGCAGGTCGCGGGATCAAATCCCGTTGGCAGAGGCTGTATTTTCCATGGAGGTGAAAATTGCGCTCACATTTGGGGGCACAAAAAAGAACTCTAAGGGACCGAAATTTCCGAAGCCCTCCACTATGCCGTCTCTCATAATCATATGGTGGTTATGAAACGTTAAACCTCAAATATCAATCAATCAATCGTATACTAACAGACAGCGAAATAAAAAACGAGGAGAAAAAAAGTTCCATCATGGGGCTTCGAACCAGCACCCTCTTCCTCTGCAGCGCGCAGCATTAGCTACTAGGCCACGGTACTTTTATCCATGGTGTTTAATTAAGCATTTTGTAATAAAGACAAAATGAACCAAACAAAGGTACAATCACATCACTATAATAAGTGCTATAGCGTTAATAATAAACACTCAGTGGCTAACACACCGTCAGTTCTTCACATGAGAGTTCTTCAGATCATGTTATAAAAACAAGACAGGGGCAGGCGGAACACCTCACCAAGATAGAGTACCAGTCCGATCTGAAGTCTAGGTCGTCGTAAATGTCTTTGAGGTGAATAGCCATCTTGCGCTACCGGGAAGCTATTTAAATACACCAAATAACGTTTGACGGTCCTCAGAGCTTCGCAACTTGAGTGCCTTTTCGTCATCAGTAGCGAGATGGTGGTAATGGCTTGCGATGGGCGTGCTGCGAAGCTCATAGCATTTTGAGTTTTGACGAGCGTGGGCCTCCATGAAGCATGGTCTCTTCTCCGCGCGCTTGTCAGGCTCGGGATTCAGGAGAGCACGAAGGTCACTTCGCTCGCTGCCGCAGACACGTTTACCAAAAGAGCACCCTTCTCGCACACGAAGATGCCATAATTGTGACAGTTGTTCGGGTTTGTCCTGTGTGCCTGTTTCGCGCGTCTTTCTTCCTGTTTGAACAGCGTGATCTAAGTGTCAAGTGGTGACAGTTGTTAGTCCACTCTCATTTTGTGTATGCTCATTTCGTGCGTGCTTTCTGCTTAGGGTGCGCGCTGGAAGTATCCAGCCGCTGGCCGTGTTAGCGTTACTTCGCAATTTGCTCTTGTAGCATTCATATTTTCGCCCTTGTGG